TGTGACCTTGGGATAAGGTAAGTACAGCTCATATGCGTAGTACTTGAAGTAGACGATTACGCAATTGATACGCTTTCAGCATCAATGGACGTTCGCAACCGGAATCCATTTCCGATCGGAAATTAGCCAGATTTTTAACCCCATCAAACAATCTTCTGTGACAATACGAATAGAGACGACACAAAAGCCATATAGGAAATCCTCTCCCCATCTGGGCTGCTGGACCAATGCTAACGTCCAGGTTGCAGACTTGGTTCTTACAGCACTTGCACCACCTAGGCTGGAAGCGTGCCAGGAACTGCAAATGTGATGTGCACAGAAAGAAAGGTTTGACTGATCATAGATCTGATCTGATCAACATCTAATACGTGAAACAACAATAACCATCGTGCGCTAGGGATGGCAGCCGTGAGTCAGTCAAGTGTCAAATCAGTCGGCGGAAAAGCGCAAGCTCCGGTGTAGGGAGCAACTTTCCTATGAAAGCATCGCCGCCGAAGTCGCAACCACTATCTCGTAATAATAACAAATTCTATCATTTCTAGTGAATGCCAACAATTGAGTGGAGATCATGAGGGGTGAGAGCGAAGCTTGGCAGATTAGAATACTTTCCCCCCGATCTATTTTTACAACAGGTGTTCACGTAACCCTGTGTACTGGGCATGAACATCTACTTTATACACGCAGTTATATCTCTCTTATCCTGACCTCTAACTGACAGGAATCCCGGGTCTACCGGGCACCCTGTGGGTGAGTTATAGAGGACAAGTCATATTATTACTACTCTTTTGCATTTTTCGTGGAAATGGTGACGTCATATGCTAGGTCTCCGGCCCATCCCAACTGAAACGTATGTGATTTCGAGTTACAGGACATTTCAAAGTCATGGGCAGTGCCCGGTCCCGGACCGTCCGGGTAAAAGAGATGCGAGTGTACTGCTTACCCGTCAACATAGCAGCATGGAGTTCGCCGGCCGATACATCTGTCACGCGGACACTCCGGTTCATCGGCAGCTCGCACGGGTTGGAATGGCTGCCGCCGCCGAACATCCAGAGTACGAAGACGGTGGAACGGCGGTATTTCTTGCGAACCGGTGATGCACTACCTGCATACACAGCCACAGCGGGTGCAACGCGTTCAGACAACTGGGTACTGTACACAAAGACACTGTCAAACACCGTCAGCACTTTCATGCCTGTACGTACAGTCTGGATATTACTGCAGCAAATCCATACATGCTGGAATCAAGTTTGAACCCTGCACCAGTTTACATCCCAGTGTTCACAGGTCTAGGGCTGCACAGCGCTGCCCGGCATGGCATTGTCTCGCTTGATAGGATTTCACTCAGCAGCATACTGTAGTAGTGGTCAACAGAGTACACAACTTGAGGAGTGCACACATGCCACCAGCATGCACAGTTTCCCCAGGCTGCTCTCCAGCAGCACCGTTCCACCTGATAAGTACAAGACATGGCTACAGTGGAATCTTCGCACTTTGAAAAAAGACATGGCTCTGTTGATATCGCCGCAGTGGACAGACAGTGTCCAAGGTGACAGTGCAGAGTGGCCACCAGAGACCAGAGAGCTTCACCTAGCACAGGGTTACACACCACCCTGCTAACGTGTAGCCAGCTTGTACCATGATGTACTCCGTGACGCAGGCTGAGGCAGTACAGCGCATGCAGTGCACATTTGCCATTGTTCACTAACTCTTCATCATTGCAGCCCTTTTCACGGGCCTCGTGTTCCGTAGGGACTACCATCGTTGCACACGCTTGTATTGGGGTGGTGAACTCTCCATGGTGACCAAGCACTGACATATTGTCAATGCCGAATTTCACGAAGCAGCACCACCGATTTGTTATGGCTCATATTTCGACGGTCTGCGAATTTACATTCTCCGTCTCATCCACTGAAATGTTCAAGCATGATATTTTGCCACGTCTTGCCTCAATGTCCCTCTTGGCGGCCAAGGACTAGGACAGGGACTAGGTGTCGAAGCACGGTATAGATGCACGCATGTTCTGTTCGTTGATTCACATACATGTACATGATAGTACTGTCCACTCCTCTTATAACGAACTCGCATTATAGCGAATTCACTCTCCTGTACAATGGTGTTCGATAATCAGGAGTCGACCGTAGCTATTGCATTCTAACAAGTAACAACACAAACTCACCCTCGTCATTGGACCTGTTGTTGGCTGTAGCGCTAGTGGATCTAGTATCAGTCGTTCCATCCTCAACAGCTGCAGTCGCCATCTTCCAGGTGACTTCCGACCAGTACGGATACGTACGTCCTGATTCTCTTCAGCCACCAGTGAACCAAGAACGCGGAGCCATGCGGCTGTCTCAGCGATCACTCGTATTCCTCAGGTCCTGAGAGCACTGATCATGAACTCTGCTGACGGATTGATCGCAACGTCCAACGCGATTTCCTGAAACAACTTAGGATTTTTTCGGAGCCTGCGCTTATTCCGGGCCTAAGGCTAGCTATGCAGAGCCTGCACGAGTTGGTCTTCGCCACTCTACTAACGAAAGAAACACTCGTGTGGCGGAAGGAGATTTGAACCAGCGCAGAAAACAAAGAAGCCGCAAAGCTGCATGCGGATGCGTGCGTGCCTCAATCCCTCCAACTAACCCCACTCATGCACTATTCCTTCAACTTCAGTTCAAGATAGTGAGTGTATCTTCTACACATTCACACGCGGTCGACGGTCGCAATGCACTGAGCGCGTTACGCTTATGGTGCGTCGAGGGTTGACATGCACCCCGACCACAGAGCTCTCCGTCTCGACTCTCGTCGATGACCAAATTTTACTCATTTAGACCCAGACTCGCCATAGCATGAGTAAGAAAGTAGACGAACTCTATCGGCACCCCGGCCCACAGAGCCAGGCCATGCATGGCTTGCAACATTATAATTATTGTCATTGACACTGACAGTGACACCGACAGCGCTCGCTAGCTAGCTAGCTAGCGGGGTCAGAAAGTGACCCGGCGTGGCCAGGAAGGGGGTGTGCACCTGGTTGAAGCAACTCACAGAGTCGCGAGACTGCCAAGACTGCAAGGCCAAGAGACTCACAACCGTGAGCAGCCTGTTACGGTTACCGGTACCTGGTGGAGATCGTGTTCCTCGGCTTTGGCCGGTCTACCGCGGGAGACCTACCACCGCTGTTACCGTATAATGATATCTACTATCAACAAGATCAGAGTACATACCCATGATAACCACTCCTCGTATCAACGTTACTCGTTACCATGGATACCGCCTACGCAAGTCATTGTCACTTGACCCCGGTCCGGAGCTCCGGTGCTGTACTGGCTGTGTACAGTCGAATGCGAATGTTGATCATCTGCATGACAAGAACGACTGTTGTGTTGCACAATCATGCAGATCTATTTAATATGCCTTTTTTATACTCTGTACTGCACTACTGTAGATCTACATTTGCAGCCACTGCATATTTTAATACCGTAGAATCCCGCGGATAAGCCCACCCGCGTATAAGCCCATGCCCGCGCATAAGCCCAGGGTTTGTTCGAACATCACACAGCTTCATCGTACAAGCCTAGGTCATACCGGGAGTCCATAAATAATTTTAAATTATGGACTCTTGGCCATACCATGTACATGTACGTAGTTATAATTATAGTTTTTTTTCGTACATTTCAGCACAATCATCGGTTGTTTTTGTTTGCACAGTGGATTTCAGCACGGTCCTTCACACTTCCTTGATACTTTTCAATAGCACAACTAACTAACTTGGTGTCGCGTCGGCGTATAAGCCCATGCCCGCGTATAAGCCCATGTTCTCGTATGCCCACCGAAATGTCCTTGTGAAACAGATAAGCCCATGGGCTTATCCGCGGGATTATACTAGCCCTTGGCGGATTATGCCGGCATAATATTTGGCATAATCTTGGGATTTCGTCAAAAAAATTATGCTCTGGCATAATAATACGGATTCCAACGACTTACGTGTAAGGTCGCCATAATCTTTCCGTTTAGACAAAAATTATGCTTAGGGCCGTGTGTGTATGCGTGGTTTCTCAATCCTCTATGTACAGCGTGAATACATAGTGGAACCGAGCATTTTTTTCCCGGCAGCATATTAAATTCAGCATATTTGTTTGCATAATCAAAAGCATAATTAAAAATTTTGACGATTACTGATCCTTCACATAGTATCAACCAGAGAGTCGCGAAAGCAATGACTCCCGATCCCGGATCCCAGATTCAGACTCGACTCTCCTCTTTCACTTCAGGTGTGTAAAAATAATGTCCTCCGTAGTGCAGTGCGGTGGTTGTGGGTCGTCCACGACCACCCTCACTCTAAAGTTTGTTTCGTGTTTGCACGCACTGTGTGTGCCGTGCCTGCAGAACAGCTTGGGATTTGATGGCTGCGTAAAGTGTCCGCAATGTTCGGTCAGCACGCAGTTGCATTTCGGCCGCCTGGATCCATTGCGATCGCTACCGAATGTCGTTCAAGCAAGCGATACGATGACTGGAGCGGCTGCCGGCCAAAGTCAGGCCATTCAAACCTGTGACGAATGCTGGGATGGAAAGCCAGCTACAGTGGGTTGTGAGAACTGCACCGGCACATTTTGTGAGCACCACGGTACTGGCCATCCCATGACAAAATCTGGCAAAGGTCACACAGTGAAGGCGCTATCTGCATCCTCCACAGAGTCAACAAACAGTGGCAGCAGCAGTGGCAGAGTGGTCCAGCATAGATGTGCTCTACACACGAATGAAGTGCTGAAACAGTTTTGCTTGGATTGCAATCAGCTATTGTGTACGCAGTGCATACATACTGGAGCACACAGACATGATGAACACAAGGTGATGGATATTGCCAGTGCTGCACAAAACACTCGTGACACACTTTCCACTAAGCTGAGCAGTTGTACATCAGAATGCGATGGTGTTGTCAGCAGTCCCATAGAGATCGTGGAGAAGAACATTCGAATGATACACAGTCAAACAGAGTATGCTTCGGAGAAGGTTTCTGGTTTCTTCAAGCCACTGATGGAGGCAGTGAAGAAACGAGAGGACTCTCTTCTTACCGAACTGGATGAGCTGAGGTTGAAGAAACTGGAACCTCTGGAGAAGCAACTACACCAGCTGCAGGAGTGTGTGTCAAAAGGAGAGAGTGCTGCCAATATCTTGCAGTCATTTGAGGACGATGTAGAGCTTCTCCGTGTGTGGTCCTGGGTGGATGCGTCTATCAGCAAAACCATGAAAACTGCCGAGGACGAGAAAGAGCCATGTGTTACCAGTGGCATTGTGTTTGGCACGACGGACACCGCATCACTACTCAATGACATCAGCAAGACGGGAGCAGTGCTGGATGTTGCTGATGGTACATTGAAGTGCCACGACCAAGCCGGTGTCAATGACCATATCAGCATCTCTATAGAGCTACCAGAAAATGCTATCTCAAGCGTCATGGAGCAAGATCAACTGGATAACATTGGACTGGAGATATCGATATCCGATCCGGATGAGGACACAACCAACGTGTGCACTCAGCTTACACCTGCTTCTGGGCGCATACAGACTGAACGCACCCCGTTGCAAGCCGGTCACTACAACATCTCGGCCAGGATTGGATGTGTCCATCTGAAGGGTAGCCCACAGAAGCTGGTGGTGTCGGCAACTAATACTTCAAAGACGTTTGATGGAAATCGCTGCGGCAGATTGGTGAATATCACCAATGATGGTCGCTCACTGAGCAAGACCAGTGGTAGTGGTAAGTGTTGGTCATCAGCACTTACCACACCTATGGTCACTGGCACTGGTTGCAGTACACTGAAGGTGATGATTGACAAGACCGCCCATGCTAACATCTTCCTCTCTGCCTGTTCATCCAGCAATCCAAACCTGGAAAATTACCAACAGGACAAGGCACAGTGTTTTGGTTGGTATGGCACTGGTACTAGTGGCCACCACACCGGCAAAGCCCTTGGTCAACGCTGGCAAACTGGTGACATCATTCATCTCACAGTTGATCATGATCGTCACACTCTCACCGGTAGACACGAGAGAACGGGCGCCACAGAAACCATCCCGAACGTCACGGGTAACCTGTACTGGATTGTGGCACTCTACTACCCTGATGATAAAATCACGCTGGTGTAGGACATCAAATGGTGAACACTTCAGATTGCCGCTTGGCTGTTATTATGATCAGGTAGTGTCATGACTTCTTAGATGTGTATTTCCCAGTGTCAGATTTGATCTTTAACTAGTATGTAATACATCACTGGGGGGGGGGGGGGACACTACAGTCCTAACACGTACATATATAGGGTTATACCCCCCCCCCCCCCCACACACACACACACTACCCCCCCACACACACACACTACCCCCCCCCCCCCCCACACACACACACACACTACCCCCCCCCCCCCCCACACACACACACTACCCATACCCCGGTTTATGCATATAATTATCTTCTATCCACTGGGTGGATATTTTCACACCAGTTTTCATCAGTGTACTATTGAGTGGATTTTTTGTCATTCTATTGGAAGGCAATAGCCTACTCGTGTGCACGCATGCATTCTTGCCGGAAATGTCTACCTGTGGCGACAATAATTTTTTTCATGGACTGCTCTTCTTTTTTAGTGTTTGCACACTCTTGGCTGCTACTGTGGCACTTTTGTATTTTCGTGCTGCTGCTGCTGCGCTCTGTACAGCTGCACTAGCCGTATTAACTGTCGTACCCAGATGCACACATTCAATCCCTGGCTACGCTTTGGAACTGTTTTCGTTGCCTATGTCCTCATCTCTCTTCGTTTAGTTTTCGCTGCCTGGGCTCTCATTTATCTTTCCTTGCTTGCTTGCTTGTATTGCTGAGGGAACATAATATTATGCTGGTTTGTATTCGTGGGTCCCCATGGTGCATGGGCCACGCGTACTCATCCGGCGGATATGTGTGAATAATAATAATAATTGGAAGGCAAGGTGACAGGACGCATGTGGTGTGGCAATCATGTACAGCTGATATTACATGTACTACTGTGATCTGACCTGCCTGCAACGAATTACTTCTCAATATTCATAAAAATCTATTCAATGTTCATACCAAGTGCATGTCCAGTAAGGGTGACAAGTTAGTCTGATTTGAATTCTTTTCACTTTACGTTGGGAGTATCGCCGAAGTCGCACCAACCTCTTCTTTACGTAGTAATATGGTTTGGAGAAAGTAGTATTAGATAAACCTTGTTTTGTTGAAACCATGTTGTTGGTTGACAGCATGTTACAAGGCGGAGGACACCGTGTTCGAAAACAGTGCCCTTACTACGACCATCCACGGTTGGCAGAGTCCCAGTCTTGCCACTTTTTAAACCGTTTGGGTGTTAGCCCTGGTTCTGACCCTCATGATATTAATTTTGGAAGTTTATCGAGTCTTCTTGTTTTTTATTTTGTTATTGTACTGTCAGTCGTGTATTCTTCGCTCGTTCTTGGTTGTCTTTAGACTTGGCAGAAGTTGGAGAAATATAGAAAAGAGTATAAAAAGAAAATAAGAAAAGAAAAATTACATCATTCAGGCCACAGTTTTACTGTATAAGTACTATCACCCCCCCCCCCCCCCCCTGCACACACACACTATCCCCCCCCCCCCCCACCACACACACACACACACACAGTACCCCCCCCCCCCCCACACACACACACTATCACCCCCCCCCCCCCACACACACACACACACTACCCCAGGTCCAGACCCCAGTCAACACTCTGACTCTCACTTCGTCTAAACGATGATTGGGCGGATGACGAGGCCACTGCCCGCGTAGTATAGTGTGTAAGTTAGTTATACTCTCCTCTATCTCACGACTGTATCATGCAAGAAGCGTCTGAAAACTGGACAGGGACCCCTAACCTAGGCAGCCCCAGGCTCCCCCACCCGTACTGCAGTGTTACTCTAGACTGTAGAAGCAAGGCACAACACTGAGTTAGTTTGTGGGCAGCTGGAGAACGTGGAGATCAGGTAACAGAACATAAGAACTACAACTACATTGTTGACTAGTACACAACTACACTGACAGCCTGCTACTATTATGATAGATACCTGCCAGAGACGCTACTGCAAGCACAGTATCATGCATGGTATTACAACAGCACAAAACCATGATGTGGCCGTCAAAAAATTTCACCTGTACCATCTGGGCAAGTCGGGAAACATACAGTATAAATTGGATAGAAATCACTTCATAAAGTGAGGGAAATCACTTGAAGACAAAATAAGACAACCGGCGGGTAGGGTCGATTTTCTTCACACCAAGACTGGCTTTAGAAGAAAACAAGCAATAAACCCATGATAACTTCCATGATAAATAGAAATAGGTTTGATCGGTTGGGACTTTAAAGTTAGGGCACTGCTGTACTTGACAATTTGTGTAATAAAGATAAGACACGCTTCAAGCAGCGGCAAATAGATAAACATGACGATGCAGTTATGGAGTTTCTATCGGCAAAAAAAAAAGACTGGGTGGATAATTTATATGCACTTGTACCACAAGGAAAAACTACATCTGTGATGACAGCGAGTGTGTTGTAGACTGCTTGATCGGTGTGAATATATAACGTTACCATAAAAAAATGTCCAGACAATCTCTCAATGTAAAATCACCTCCACATTGCCAGTACACAATTGCGAACCACCATCCGTTCCAGCTGACCAAGACTGTCCCACCTCAGTCTCGGAACAATGTCCTTCGGTCCTTCCCCCACTGTATGATTGATACCTGGAATTTCCTCCCAGCCTCTATCCTCGGTGCTCGCCTCTCCCAGAAGTCGATGTAGACCTTCAAGAAGAAGGTATATGACCACCTGAGGCAATCTGACTGGGACTGGGCAACCAACCGCCTTTAGCTGCCTCCGGGATTACGCCCCTGCTTCTCCCACCCCAAGCCTAATTGTCGCCAATCCTGAGTAGCCAATCTCCACTGCTACCCTATTGCACCCATCATTTGACTCTCTCCTTTCACTCCTATTATCTGTTTGATTATTTGCTATTTTCTGCTGTGTTCCAAAATTAGATCCTCTCCTTCGTTCTAAATCTTCCATTTTCTCCCGTGCTTTTTTCCCCTCATGCTTATGCTTCCCTCCCGAATTTGGTGCGCCTGCCATGTGAAGATGCCGAGACCTCTGGTCGGTTGAGCATGGCAAGCCCCACCAGCACCATCTCACCCCATGCTAACCCCATGTGCCTGCCGGTGAGTTGTGTATTTGGTAATAAAACAACAACAAAAAAGGCTTTTCTACCACAGCTTACTAGTCAGTTCCTCTTGCCGCACTGAGTTCTGATGAGTGGAGCTTTTGCCGTACAATGTTGAACATGACTGTTTGCTTAGTTCACACTCAGACATCCTCTGCGTCGCTACCATCCAGCAACGCATTGTCATCTTCTTCCTCATCAAGAGCATCATTGAAATCATCGAGATCGTCACCAGCGCCAAACTCGCCGTCATTGTCGTCCACTTCGTAGCTGGCCTCGTCGACATCGCTGCTAGCTGCACATGCCTGTGCTTGCCGCTCTTCCTCGTCTTCCTCCTCCTCTAACCCTTCCTCATCTTCCTCCTCCTCCTCCTCCTCTAACCCTTCCTCGTCTTGCTCCTCATCATCGTCATCATCTCCGTGCTTTGCTCGGTTTTTGCCGCTGGGAACACGGTGGAAACAAAAAAATACATGGTTACAATGTGAACTCGAATAATTCCAGCAGCTTTGTTCGTTTGTTGTTTGTTTTTATCACAGGCCTGGTGTCTGAGCTACCAAACAATCATCCCATGGCATGGCATAAGATATCCATTCATACTAGGGACCAGTGAGCTTTGGAGCAATACTGTTGAGACTGCAACACACTGTCACATTCTTGCCTTCACCTCCCTAAACAACCTGAATTTCCACTGCACACACGCCATAGAGTACTCGCGGAATTCCGCATTGTCTGGTCTACTTTGGAAGGCAATTTGCCGAAACGTTGGAACAATTATTGTGAAATGAGTTGAACTATCGCAGTGTTAATGGAAGAGAGCGTGTGGGCTCTACTCTTAACTGTTTACAAAACTGCAGGAAGCCTCCCCACTTTTACTTGCTTTGGTATGGGACCTTTATAGGTACCAATCATGTAAGCGAGATGGATACAGAGTACATGTCCAGAGAAACTTCAGTATAAAGTACAACACCCTTTTCGTCTTGTATTGGTGTTTTAAGTATGAAGTACTCTTCGAAGATCTGCCTATTCTTTCCCTCAGCCTGTCCTTTGGCCTCGGATAACTTCTGCAAAATGAAGTACAATGTTTACCAGCCTCCAAGGTAAGTAACACCAGTGATTTTTGAATGTACATGAACACTGAACTACTGGTAGTCAAAGTGACACTTTCACCTCACCCGTTGCCTTTTGCTCCAGCCTTCTTGTTGCCATGGGCTTTCTTCCATCGGCCTTCTGCTCTTGTTGCTCTTCGTCGCTCTGCGGAGTGGCAAACGTCGCCGGAGACACACGCGGTGCACTGGCCAGAATGTAATCGGCCCGCAATGCGGACGCACGGCCATCGGGATGGTCGAGCAAGAGCAACGCCTGGCAGAAAGCTTCGCCCATCTCTTTCAGGTGGTACGGCGAGAACTGCAAGCCCTGCAGAGCACATAAGACACAAGAACACAGCCAACAATTATGATCATGCCTTTCCTGAACATAACCTCGGCCACTGAAACGGAATAATAGTACACCTTTACACTGTACAATAGTAATCACACTGGCTTGTTTCTTTTCCGCCTGTATCCACTTGACGAGAAGCCGTTCAAAGTGTGCGTGGAAATCGTTGGAAATGTTATTTCTGACGAGCTGAAGGGTAGTTTTGTTCTTTAGTCTTATTGGCTTATTGCATACTTGTTTCTGAAAGCCTACTAAAAAATACGACAACATTGATGTTAAAAAGGAAACTGGGCATGAACACCTACTTTAAACATGCAGTTATAACTCTCTTATCCTGACCTTAGACTTACAGGAATCCCGGGTCGACCGGGCACCCTGTGGCAGTGTGGGTGAGTTATAGAGATCAAGTCATATAATTACTACTCTTTTGCATTTTTCATGGAAATAGTGACATCATATGCTAGATCTGCGGCCCATCCCAACTGAAGCGTATGTGATTCCGAGTTACAGGACATTTCAAAGTCACGGGCAGTGCCCGGTCGCGGACCGTCCGGATAAGAGAGATGCGAGTGTACCGCCTACCTGTCAACATAGCAGCATGGCCGATACATCTGTCACGCGGACACTCCGGTTCATCGGCAGCTCGCACGGGTTGGAATGGCTGCCGTCGCCGAACACCCAGAGCACGAAGACGGTGGAACGGCGGTACTTCTTGCGAACCGGTGATGCACTACCTGCATACACAGCCACAGCGGGTGCAACGCGTTCAGACAACAGGGTACTGCACACAAAGACACTGTCAAACACCGTCCGCACTTTCATGCCTGTACGTACAGTCTTGATATTACTGCAGCAAATCCATGCACGCTGGAATCAAGTTTGAACCCATGCGCCAGTTTACATCCCAGTGTTCACAGGTCTAGACAGCGCTGCCCGGCATGGCATTGTCTCGCTTGATAGGATTTCACTGAGCAGCATACTGTAGTAGTGGTCAACAGAGTAAACAACTTGAAGAGTGCACGCATGCCACCAGCATGCACAGTTTCCCCAGGCTGCTATCCAGTAGCACCGTTCCACCTGATAAGTACAAGACATGGCTACAGATGGCTACAGTGGAGTCTTCGCACTTTGAGAAAAGACATGGCTCAGCAGGTTAACAGGTTTATATCGCCGCAGTGGACAGACAGTGTCCAAGGTGACAGTGCAGAGTGGCCACCAGAGACCAGAGAGCTTCACCTAGCACAGGGTCACACACCACCCTGCTAACGTGTAGTCAGCATGTACCATGATGCACTACGTGACGCCGCAGGCTGAGGCAGTACAGCGCATGCAGTGCACATTGCCATTGTTCACTAACTCTTTATCATTGCAGCCTTTTTCACAGGCCTCGTGCTCCGTAGGGACTACCATCGTTGCACACGCTTGTATTGGGGTTGTGAACTCTCCATGGTGACCGAGCACTGACAAATTCTCAATGCCGAATTTCACGAAGCAGCACCACCGATTTGTTATGGCTCATATTTCGACGGTCTGCGACCATTACAATTAATTTACATTCTCCGTCTCATCCACTGAAATGTTCGAGCATGATATTTTGCCACGTTTTGCCTCAATGTTCCGAGTCTTGGCGGCCAAGGACTAGGACAGGGACTAGGTGCCGAAGCACGGTATAGATGCACGCATGTTCTGTTCGTTTATTCACATACATGTACATGATAGTACAGTCGACTCCTCTTATAACGAACTGGCATTATAGCGAATTCACTCTCCTGTACAACGGTGTTCGTTATAATCAGGAGTCGACCGTAGCTATTGCATTCTAACAAGTAACAACACAAACTCACCCTCGTCATTGCACCTGTTGTTGGCTGTAGCGCTAGTGGATCTAGTATCAGTCGTTCCATCCTCAACAGCTGCAGTCGCCATCATCCCGGTGACTTCCGACCAGTACGGATACGTACGTCCTGATTCTCTTCAGCCACCAGTGAACCAAGAACGCGGAGCCATGCGGCTGTCTCAGCGATCACTCGTATTCCTCAGGTCCTGAGAGCACTGATCATGCACCCTAGCCCCGCTGACGCATTGATCGCAACGTCCAACGCGATTTCCTGAAACAACTTAGGATTTTTTCGGAGCCTGCGCTTATTCCGGGCCTAAGGCTATGCAGAGCCTGCACGAGTTGGTCTTCGCCACTCTACTAACGAAAGAAACACTCGTGTGGCGGAAGTTGATTTGAACCAGCGCAGAAAACAAAGAAGACGCAAAGCTGCATGCGGATGCGTGCGTGCCTCAATTCCTCCAACTAACCCTACTTTTCCTTCAAGATAGTGAGTGTATCTTCTACACATTCACACGTAAGTCGTTATCTCAGGATTTAGGCGGTCGACGGTCGCAATGCACTGAGTGCGTTACGCTTATGGTGCGTCGAGGGTTGACATGCACCCCGACCACAGAGCTCTCCACTCTCGTCGATGACCAAATTTACTCATTTAGACCCAGACTCGCCATAACATGAGTAAGAAAGTAGACAAACTCTATCGGCACCCCGGCCCACAGAGCCAGGCCATGCATGGCTTGCAACATTATTGTCATTGACACTGACAAGTGACAGTGACAGCGCTCGCTAGCTAGCTAGCGGGGTCAGAAACCCGGCGTGGCCAGGAAGGGGGTGTGCACCTGGTTGAAGCAACTCACAGAGTCGCGAGACTGCCAAGACTGCAAGGCCAAGAGACTCACAACCGTGAGCAGCCTGTTACGGTTACCGGTACCTGGTGGAGATCGTGTTCCTCGGCTTTGGCCGGTCTACCGAGGTAGACCTACCACCGCTAGTACCGTGTATCTAGTACTATCTTTTTTATTTTTTTATTTTATTTTTTATTGAAAAACCACAAACCTTCAGACATGTGAATGTGGACATGATATACAGTGTACATACGTATGTATCGAGAAGGCAGCACAGAAACGGCAGTGGTGGTGAGGCCTGGGCAGCTCGTCCGACCGTGGGTCTCGGAGTCAACACTGGGCAGACGCACCGGGGGGGGGGGGGGGGGGGGTGGTAGCTTAGGAGATAAGGGATGGAGCCAGCATGATCATAGTATGTAATGCATATGCAGAAGTAATAATTATGTTAATCTTAAAAACAATAGTGCGGTCGACCTGCGCAGAGGAAAGGCATCATGGACATGATCTACGTGTATAACATAATAATAATTGCAAGTGAGCTAGGGCACATCATACATACACATATGCGCATGTTCAAATAGGAGATCAACCTGACAGGCGTTCGCTGGCGTTGGGTAATCTTGAAATAAAGATATTAATATTATTGAAGAGATTATTATCATACGCTCACATAAACACCACATACCAACCATGTGCACCCACCCACCCCCACACACACACACGCGCGCGCGCGCGCACACACACACACATGCTCGCACGCACGCACACACACACACACACACCGCACACACACACACACACACACACACACACACACACACACCACACACACACACACACACACACACACACACACACACACGCACACACAGACACACACGTGCACATTCACGCAGACGCGTAATCATACATAATATTTGTGCACAGACTCACTCTCTCACAGTAACGTCCAGAAAACCACCACGCCAAGTCCCTACAGCCGGTCGGTCGCCCAGTCCCAGTGGCTCGAGCGCAGGAATTAATCGGTGGACGCTGCACTTGAAGGACTGCAACCTCTTCTGGTCGGGCTGATCCAGGAGGTGTTGGCGAGGCAACTGGTTCCAGGTGTCCAGCACTCCTTCAGGGAACGACCGGCGGACGCTGTTGCGAGAATTGGCTGGGATATCAGACTGCAGCTGGTAGTGGTGGCCGGCCGCCACCCGCGCCTGCTGCCTGGTGTTGGCAGGATGTTGGTCGTGGTCTGGTACTGCTTGGGAGGGGGGTAGCATTCGGGTTAGCATCTAAGGGCCTGTCAGGTACTGGATTTTGTAGAGATAGCAGAGAGCAGCCACTTTGCGCCGGAGTTCAAGGCTTGGCAGATATGCGCCTTCGCCGATCAGATGCAGGGCTCTCCGCTGTACAGCATCGAGTTGGGCCAGCACCGGCTGAGAAGCACCCATCCAGACTAGCATGCCATGCTCTAAGATTGGGCGAACAAAGCCGTTGTTGACCGTGAGTCGGCAGCCAGGGTCAAGCACTGCTGAGGCCTTCTTCAGGAAGCCCAGTCGCTGTGTGGCGCGCAGGGCTGACTGTCGAATCTGCTGGCAGAATGTCAGTTGACTGTCGAAGGCTATCCCAAGTAGCTTCAGGCACTGGGTTTCAGGAACCATTTCACCTTGGAATGTGACCGGAGGGCAGTCCCAGGGCCGACGGTGGTGGCTGACGTGGAGTAGGTATGACTTGGCGGGCTCGAATGTCACTCGCCAGGTCGCACTCCAGGCAGCAAGGGCATTGACGGCGGTCTGGAGATCATCACAGTCAGCTGCGAGGTTGCCGAGATACCGAATACACTTGTAGAGCGTTGTGTCGTCTGCGTACGTGGCAAGGCTGGTCGATTGGGGAAGGTGGTCCTCAGCGTCATTAATGTAGATCAAGAAGAGAGTGGGCCCCAGGATGCTTCCTTGAGGCACACCTGCTCGGATGGCGTGTGTGGCTGATGTTTGTCCACCAACTACGGCCCGGATCTGGCGGCTCTCTAGGTAGTTTTTCAACCATGAGAGCAGGTGGCCAGTTAGCCCAAGACATCTGGCCTTGTGAACTACACCGCGGTGCGACACTTTGTCAAATGCGCCGGCCACGTTGACAGCAAGGACTCAGGTCACACCCCCAGCATTGGACGTCCGACTCCACTCATGCTGAAGTGAGAGGAGAAGATCAGTCGTGCCCAGGCCGCGTCGGAACCCGAATTGCCGTCCGGAGAGGACCTGATTGCTTTCCAGGAAGTTAGTGATGCTGTGATTGATGATGGCCTCCATCACCTTAGAGAGTATAGAGAGGAGGGAAATAGGACGGTAGTTCTTCGGGGTAGACTTGGAGCCTTTCTTGAAAATAGGGACAACGTTCGCGATCTTCCAGGATGCAGGTTGCACCCCGTCCTGGAAGCACTGGGTGAATAGCTTTGGCAGAGGGCTGGCGAGTGACTGCGCTGACTTCCTGAGCACTTGCGCCGGAATGCCGTCAGGGCCAGTTGCTTTAGAAGCGTCCAGGTTCTTGAGAGCTCGCTGGACTGTGGCAGGGCGGAAGTGTACGGTCTTCAGCCTATTGCCTGTGCGTTGGCGAATAGGGGGCAGAGGTGTGTCTGGCAGGTCATTGGCACCAAGGCTACATTTCTCCGCGAAGTAGTGACTGAGGCAGTTTGCTTTCTCGATGTTCGTGGCATGTTCTTTGCCAGCAGGGTCGACAAGAATCGGGATGGAGCTATTTCGGGAGGTTCCGATGGACTGCTTGATGGTTGACCACCACTGTTTGTCTCGAAGGCTGCCGGTCTGGAGTCGTGCCCGGACTATTGCTAGATGGTGATTCTGGGCATCACGTAGGCAATCAGAAGACCGGTGGACAACGAGAGTATAGTTAGCTTGACATTGGGGTGAGTCTGGTCGTCTCTTGAGGGACTTCCAGGCACTCTGTTTCGCCTTCACGGCCTTGCTGCAAGCTGGCGTCCACCAAGCGGGATCAGAGGGCCGAGTACAGAGAAGTTGGGATGGGATAAACTGGTTCATTCCATCTATGATGGCAGAGGTAATATTGGTGCAGCTGCTGTTTGCATCCTCAGACATGAGGGCATCCCAGTCCACACTCCTAAGGTGGTGGTTTAGTCTGTCCCAGTCAGCGCGGCCATATTGCCAGACTGTTCTGGCCGTCTTGGGCTCTCGACATAGTTCTGTCTTGAATTCTGCCAAGATGGTGGCGTGGTCAGATCTACCAATTGGGGGGCTGGGCCGGACCGTCGGGTTGCCCAGGTCACTCATGATGAGGTCGAGGAGGGCATTTCCACGAGTAGGCTCCGTCACATGCTGCTGGAGGTGATGTAGTGCGCAGAGGTCCTCCAGTTTCTCCCCAGCTGGAGTTGTTCTACTGCTGCCCAGCCAGGCAGTGTTGTGCGCATTGAAATCGCCAGCGATGATGAGGTGCTGTGCATCCACCCGGGCAACGTCAATGGTCTGGTCCAAGTAATCTACCATACTGATATCGTTGCCAGGAAGAGACCTTGGGCGGTAGGCAGCACACAAGACAACTTTGCGGCCAGGTCTTTTGCGGATAGAAAGCCATACAACTTCTTGATGAAGGGTTGGAACAGCTTCCAGTTCTTGGAAAGCTAGGTGGGATTTCACCCACACAGCCACGCCTCCACCCTGTGGTGTTCGGTCTCGTCTTACTGGAGGGGAGTACCCAGGAAGAGTCACTTCGGCTTGCGTCATCTTATCCAGGGTCAGCTTGGCTTCTGTGACTACAGCAATATCTGCATCAGATGCCAGAAGGGTATGCTGAAATTCGCCGAACTTTGAACGGATACCAAAGGCATTCGTAACCAGCAATTTCAACGTCTTACTGGTCATTGCTCAGGAGAGGGTCGGCAAGTGGGAGACTATCATTGTTCTGAGGAGGAGGGTCAGACTTGGTGATGTCATCAGTTTTGGCAGGTGGACTAGAATTATCATGGCGTGCTCCACTGCTTTCTTCGAAACGCCATTGCCTGGCATAAAGTGGCCGGGGCCAGAAGTTTGCAGCGGTAATTGTAGAAAGTGTTGCAGCGTCAACTGTCAGTCTCGCTTAGATTTTGCACGTTGCTGATTCGTGCATACTGCAATCGTGCACATCCGCAGATGTCCCAACCGCAGCTACTCTGTGTTGCACAAACTCCCTGAGGCGTTCCTCTATCTACTATCAACAAGATCAGAGTACATGTACATGTACATGTACATACCCATGATAACCATGACATGATAACCACTCCTCGTATCAACGTTACTCGTTACCATGGATACCGCCTACGCAAGTCATTGTCACTTGACCCCGCGCCCGGTCCGGAGCTCCGGTGCTGTACTGGCTGTATACAGTCGAACGCGAATGTGAGGAAAATGTTATCAACTCCAAAGCACGAAAAAGGCCAAAAACTAAACCAAGAACATATGCAATAACATGTTATTTATAAAGACAGGACAAGTGAATAATTAGTCAGTCCATTGTTCATGATGATCTCCGACGGTTACGTCGGCAAGCGAGCCTCCGCCACTGCCAAAGCAGCGTGGGCTCCGCAGGAGGGTGCAAATTTCAAACCAAAATTTAAACGCCTACAACCGCGAATGCACATGATACAGGATTTCAGAAGGCTGAAGGAAATCCTGCATCTAACAAATGCCATAACATGAGAGTAATGCTCACCCCTCTTCTCCGCCAACAGATGAGCAATTCGTTTGTACAGTGCTGTTGATGCTGGACCCATTCCGCCACTGGCTGACATGACCGCCGGAACAAAGGAGGCTTGCTCAACCTGCCTCACCCGCTCCTCATAGTGCCTTCTCTTTTCTTTTTCATGTCGCTGATACACAATAGTATGTGGTGCAGATCGATTTGAGCGTGAGTGAGGATTAAAAACCCGTATATCAATAAGTGTACGCTCAAAACGACTGCCCCACAAACCATTGGCAGCGACATCCAACCGGGCACGGTCTTCCACATTTGCGGTCCGGTAGCGAAGACGCTCCCCCGTCAGCGGTTGCAGCAAGGGCTCGATGGACACACTGGTGCACACCTCGTCCAGCAGCCGGGCCGTGACGTCCCGAATACCATTGTGTCTAATGGAGGGAAACCCTCCATAGGGGCACGACAGGGAATGCGCGACAGTTGCCTCTTGGCCGCAAGAGCAGTGTGACGGTACCCTGGCCGGTGTCCATCCGTAACGGAGGCAGAGTCCGTCCCAAAACTCTCCCTTTGTTAAATTAAAATGATATTTCTTAAGTGGACGGCACGTCAGCCAGCTCGACGACCCTTTCTCCTTCGCGACGTCTATGACATGTCGTAGCGACTCCGACGCACTGCCCGATATCGCGTCGAATTCCAGTTTCTGATGACGTCGAGAAGATGCCTTGGCGTCTCTCTTGGCCGATCTGATTAACACTACCGAGTCACCGATGGAGCCATCCCCTGACAAGATTCTCCGAGACAAAGGGTTGGTCATCCGAACCGACGAGTCGTATTGTTGGCATAGGGACACAGGGTTAATCAAACCGAGCCCACCCAGACGACACGGCAAAGCCATAAGCCGTCGGAGGGTGTCGCCTGGGGGTGCACGGCAAGTTAAGGCGGGAATCAGTTCAGACTTCACAATGTCCTCCAGCGGTTGGAACATGGGTTCGGGTACCTTCATGGTACGACAGAGGAACGCCCATCTACCCCTGAGGCCCGTCACATACGCAGAATACGCAGCCTGCGGCTGGTTTTGTGCAAATACTGCTAGCTTCTTCAGTTCCCCCATCCATTCGTCCACCTTTGTTTTGATATAGCTTTGAAGAAAGCTGTCCCTTCCGATTGCTGCGCCAAGATATCGTGATCCCTCGTCCGTTATCATTACACCAGTGTCTCGAAACAATTCAGTCGCCTCCTGGTAACACCTTTCCTTGACGACAAGGACCGATTTCTTTGGGTTTACGTAATATCCATATGCCGGTCCTCTCTTGTCCATTATGTCCCACCATAGACGGAGTCTGCGAAGACGAGCAGCAGCGGATGAATCGTCCGCGAACCATGACTGCACCGCACCCGCCTCATCCGCCAAACGTATCAAGGGCATTATTCCCAACGCGTACATGTACATTGCAAGGGGATCACCCTGTGTTGTCCCTTCTTGCGACAGGATACTTTCACCGTCCACGTAGAGATGAGCTGGATCACGGTAGGTATTAATAAGAACGGTAGCAAGTGATGGACACAAGTGCCGAACATTTCTTAAGCAAGTCTGTCGATTTAGTCTGTTGAACGCATTACTTGCATCCGCCATCAGAATTCCTTCGGTGTCATCCAGCTCAAAGGCCTGCTGCATCGCATGTATTCCCGCCTCTATACCGCAATCCTGGCCAGCGCATAGCTGTATACACCCAACCGCCTCCTGAACGGCTTGGCCTACGACGGAGAGGATGGCCTTGCTTATAATGCGTCGAGCGACCTCACCTATTCCAATCGGCCGGACACCGGGTTGCTTGTCCAACGCTATCAATCTGCACGCAGTGAAAGCCGACAAAGATGCTGGGTGCACGTACGTGGAGGCTAAACGCCTTGCACACGATGCTAGTGCATCGCAAAGGCCCTGGGAGGCGTCAGAGAAACTAGCGCA